AAAAAAAAAAAAACACTGAAAAAGTAAAAATATTTTTTGGGTCATGAAAGCATGCGAGAGAGAAAAGGAGGTGACCGTGGATGGGGAGTTAAATGAGAGGGTGTCACAGCCCTCGGGGGACTGGCCCTCCGGGTGTTGGGACCCCTCACCTTTGACCTCGGAGGCCCCAGGAGGGGCTGGGTCGCCCGCTTTAGTATTTAATCTCCCTGCGGCCCTTTTGAGGCAGGTCCTGGGGCCCTCTCCCCGCCCCCACCTCTCAGCGGCTGTGGAGGGGCCCGTATTAGTTTCCTGGGGCCGCCAAGGCCAAGACACAAAAACTGGGTGGCCTAGAGCAGCGGGGACGTGGAGTCCCACGGGCCGGGAGCCCGAGCTCGGGGGTGGGCGGCCCGGCGCCCTCTGGACCCCGGGGGGAGGAGCCCGCCTGTCTCGTCCAGCTTCTGGTCACCCGGACGGTCCTTGGCTGGCTGCAGTTTTACCCAAACCTCCACCTGGCATTCTCCCTGCGCCGCCACGGCGCCTCCCTCTGAGCCTGTCTGTGCCTGTGTCCCAGTTCCCCCTTTTGTAAGGACACGGGCCGTACTGGATGAGGGCCCTTCCTCCTCCAGCATCACCTCACTTGCCCATCTGCAAGGACTGTACCAGGTAATGTCACACTTCCAGGTCCTGGGCAGCACTTCAACGTGTCTCATTGGGGGCACAATTCAACCCACTGCAGAGCCAAACCAGAGAGCGTCTGTCTCCACGGCAAACCCATTCAACACACGGCCCCTAGAAAGCTGGTCACAGTGAAGGGGAGGGGAGGGGAGGAGGCGCGACTTGGGGACAGGGGTGCTCTAGCGGCAGCTGGGCCTGTGGGGCAGGAGGGAGCTGCACTTTGTCTTGTAAACTGAGCGGCAGGAGGGATGGGGTCCAGGCCTTGGGAGAGGGAAGAGGCTACACTGTCCATCAGGGCAGGGGCTGCATGCAGAGCCCCCCCTACCCCCCAGGCACAGGAACCAGCAAGTGGGAGCAAAGGCAGGGGTGGGTGGGTCAGTGGGGAGCTGCTGGTGGGGCCTGGGAGGCCCAGATGCTGGCGTTTCAGCCTCTAGAGGGCTAGGCCCCTGGGATGCCATCGGCGTTGTGTAGATGGGGAGGCCGATGGAGGTGGGTCTGCTCAAGATGAGGCCCGGCCGTGGACGTGCAAGGCTGGGCTAGGGAGCAGGCCAGATCTCAGCCCCCTTTCTCCCCTTACCTTGGCCCAGACTGGCCCCATACAGAGCAGGTCTGGGTGCTGCGGACACCCGGGCCCCATGAAGTTGAGGATGGGAAGGGCCACAGGAGGCCCTGACATGACCACCGGGGGCCCTGTTTCTGCCCCACAGCAGCTTATCTCTCCCCCCACCTGCAGTTCTTAAGGCAAATTCTTCCCTTATCGGCAGAGGCGGCAGCCTCCCCGGCTGGGATCTCAGGCCCTATCTGCCTGCGCCTGTTGACTTGGGACTCCCCCTCGCTCCCTCTTTCATGCTCTTTGTCTCCCTCCTCCTCTTTCGGAGCCATCCTGGTTGCCATGGCAACGCTGCAGCGGGTACCAGGTGGCTGCTGGGGGCAGGGAGCCCGCACTGCTGCAGCCTCCACCATTTCTGATGCCAGGCACCCGCAAGGCACACTGGCTGGGGCTCATTTGGGGGGGCACTGGACCTCCCCAGGCCTCACGGGCTTCTCCTTGACTGATGGGATGTGGGGAAAGGGGAGGGATAATGTGGGGGTGAGAATACAACACGGGAAGGGGTGCTGGTGGCATGGTGGCTGAGGAAGATGAGGAGGAAAGGTGAGAAGTGAAGGTGAACTGAGGGGGGTCCTGGGCAGAGGCTGGGGTAGTGGAGCTCCAGCTCCCGCGGCCTTGTGGGGAGGTGGAGAACGACCAGGCCAGGCCTCCTTCAGACCTTGCGGTGGGGAGAGGAAGGCCTGGCCTGGCTGGGGACAGAATGGCAGCCAGCCCAGCCGAGATGGGGGTGGGGACTGGAAGGATGGAGGTCCAGGAAGGCCGAGCCACAGAGATGGAGCAGCGACAGACACAGAGACCGAAAGGGAGGAAGGTTGACAAGAAATACGGTGCTAAGACCTGGGGGAATGGCCGCAAGGGTACAGACTGAGAGCCCAGAGTCCCTGTCACCATCTCTTCTCCCTGCTCCCAACCCTCAACCCCCACCCCAAGCAGGATGCAGTTTCCATGACAACCTGGCTGGCCAGAAAAGGGGGCGGGGGACTGCAGAGGAAATTTTCCACATCAGCAGGAAGGGAGGAGGGTGTGATGCAGGGGAGGAACTGGCCCATCCGGTGGGGGCCACGCAGGGCCCCTGGAACCCCAAATCCTTATCCCTTCAGGCCCCAGGATTCTCACCCTGCCCCCACCCAGCAAACTGGCACTCTCACCTCTGAGCTGCCAAGGGGAAGGGGGAAGGCTTGGGAGAGGCTCAAGGGTCAAATGTCCAAAGATCAGTGGCTACCCAGGTCTCGTGTGTGTTGGGGGCAGGCAGCCAGCAGCTGACAGAACTCGGACTGCAGACCACCAGATTCAAGGACATGGCCCTCGACAGGGTCCCTCGGAGGGTGGGGGTGGTGGGCTACGGCCGCCTCGGTGAGTCCCTGACCGTCTGGGTCCTGTTCCCCAAAAGCCCGTGTCCGCCATAAACACACCTTTCATCTAGGTCTGTATCTGTGCCCTGACTGGCTGTATCCACCTGAGCAGCTCCCACTCCCCACCACGGGGCTCCAGCCCCCTCTCTACGTCTCTTTCTCCCTCCCGTACCCCTATCTCTGGATCTCTGTCCGCTATTCTCTGAGTCTCTTTCCCTCTTCCCAGGACAGTCCCTGGTCTCCCACCTGCTGACTCAGGGACCGGAACTGGGCCTGGAACTGGTTTTTGTCTGGAATCGAGACCCAGGACGAATGACTGGGAAAGTGCCCCCCTCCCTGCAGCTGCAGAACCTTGCTGCCCTTGGGGAGAGGTCAGTGACCTTGACATGAGAGAGCAGGGCTCCCTGAATAAAGCTCCTGTTCTGGCCTCCTTTAGCTGCTGCGTAATCTCAGGCCAGTTCCTTACCCTTTCTGGGCCTTGGCTCACCCAAATATGAAATGGGAGAAGCCCATCCATCCCATTTCCCCTCCCAGTTACAGGCCTCCATAGACTGAGGAATCTGGGGATGGGAGGCCAGGTACACCTCCAAGGCCCTCCCCATCTCTCCCCTCTGCCAGGCACCCTGACCTTGTGGTAGAAGTGGCCCATCCCAAAATAATCCAGGAATCTGGGGCACAGATCCTGCGCCATGCCAATCTCCTGGTGAGCCCTGCCCTGCCCTCCTTGGCCCTACCCCACCCCAAAGTGGGATCAGTCCCCTGACCTCTGCCCCTCCCACCTTCACCCACCCCAGGTGGGGTCCCCCTCAGCCCTGGCTGACCAGGCCACAGAGCAGCAGCTCCTGGAGGCCTCAAAACGCTGGAACCACGCCGTGTTCGTGGCCCGGGGGGCCCTGTGGGGCACTGAGGACATCAGCAGATTGGACTCAGCTGGGGGCCTCCAGGTGAGGGCCTGTTGGGCTCCCAGGGAACCAGAGGGGCCCTGCAGAAACCCCCTGGTCCCTCTGACCCTGGCTGTCACTTCTAGAGCCTCCGTGTCACTATGGCGACACATCCGGATGGCTTCCGGCTGGAGGGACCCCTGGCTAAAGCGCACAGCACTGGGCCTCGCACTGTGCTCTATGAAGGCCCTGTCCGCGGGCTCTGCCCCTTTGCCCCCCGCAACTCCAATACCATGGCAGCTGCTGCCCTGGCGGCCCCCAGCCTGGGCTTCGACGGTGTGATCGGGGTGCTTGTGGCGGATCTCAGGTGAGCTATGCTGAGCAGGGGGCTGGGTCGGGGCCAGGCCTGCCAGACTGACAGCCCTGCTTGCCCCAGCCTCACGGACATGCACGTGGTGGATGTGGAGCTGAGCGGACCCCCAGGCCCCACAGGCCGAAGCTTTGCTGTGCACACCCACAGAGAGAACCCCGCTGAGCCCGGCGCTGTCACCGGCTCTGCCACTGTCACTGCCTTCTGGCGCAGCCTCCTGGGTATGGCCAGGTCCCTCCCCAGCGTCAGTGGCCTCAGTCCTCAAACCATGGGCACTAGGCTCTGCAGACGTTGGGTCTCGGGCTCTGGGTCTGCAATTCTGATTTTGTCTTTGTTGGTTGATCTTTATTTCTGAGTCTCTTTAACCTTCTACGCCAAGGCTTTGAATCTTTGAATTTCTCTCTCGATCTCTGTCCCTCTCTCTGGGTCTCTGGCCCCCTGTGCGTCTCAGTCCTCTCTCTCTTGGTCTTCCTCCACCCGAACTTGGTCTGGTCCTTCCTCCAGGTGTTTGCCTTTCGTTCCTCTGTCCCAGCCTTTCATTCCCGTCTCTCTCCCGCAGGCTGCTGCCAGCTCCCTTCCAGGCCGGGAATCCAGCTCTGCTGAGAAGCCTCCTCTTCCCGGAGAGGACATTCTCGTCTCATTTACCTCCCCACCACCGTTCTGTTGCTGTCCTGGCCTCAGTTTCCCCGGACTCCCTCCTGTGTCAGTAAAGATTGGAAGCTCTTCTCGCTGCGCAGCCGCAGTCTCTGCTCCTTGTTACCGTCTGTGACGTCACGCGGCGTCCTTACACTATGCGTCACACGACACCAGGGGCGGGCACAGCTGGGAGCAAAACTCCCAGAAGCTATCGCGAGAGTCTATTCACTACATTTCCCAGAATCCTCCGAGCAGCGGGGGAGGAGGGGTGAGCGAAGGCGAGATTGACCGCCGGAGCCAAGGGAGCTGTCCTCGTCTCCGAGCGTTAGCCGACTTCGGGGTCACGCCGTCCAGGCGTTCCTCGGGGCGAGAGCCCTCGCGGGGGCCGCCGGGAGTCGCAGTCCGGCACGCGCAGGGCGCCGGGAGCTGTAGTCTTTGCCGCCTGCCCAGTCAGCGCCGTGCTTCCTGCCCGGCACTCGGATCCGAGCCGCCGCCCAGGGGGATGCGGGAGCCCCTGGTTCCGGGGAGCAGAGAGGCAGGCGGGGTGAGGGGCGTTACTTGGCGACGGGCAAGCGCCGCGGTTGGGGTACCGGTTGGGGAATGGACTGTTACTTGATGCCCGGGGAGGGGGCCCTGTTGTCAGGTGACAGGAAGAGAATACCCTGTTGTTTAGTGACAGGGTAGGGGAATCGTCTGTTGCTAAGCGACCAGAAGAAACCCTGTTACCTAGAGACAGAGGAAGAGGAGTCCTCTGTTGCTAAGTAACCAGAGGAGAGACTTGTTACCTAGTGGGGTAGGGGGTTCTCTGTTGCTAGGTAACCAGAGAGGGAGCCTGTTACCTACAGACAGGAGGGCGGGGGTGTTCCTCTGTTGCTAGGTGACCACCATAGGACCCTTTCATTTAGAGATGTGGTGGGGGTGGTCCTCTGTTGCTGGGAAGAGCAGAAAAGGGAGCCTTTTCCTAGGAATGGGGGATGGAGGTATCCTGTTGCCAGGAGAGCGACTGGGGAGCAGGGTCCCCTCAGGCTGCACCGAGCCTCCACCTCAATGGTGGTGTCCCCAGAGCGTGCTGACAGTTTGGGCCTCCAAATCTGGTCTCCTGAGCACCTTCTCCCGTGCCCTCCAAGCAGGAGCGGAGGGAGGCATGTCCCAGGGCCCAGGAGCACAGCCAGGACCACCCTCTGTGTACCACGAGCGGCAGCGACTGGAGCTGTGCGCCATCCACGCCCTCAACAACGTCCTCCAGCAGCAGCGCTTTAATCAGGAGGCTGCCGATGAGATCTGCAAGAGGTGACCGTCACCCACCCGAGGCCCTGGAGAAGCGGGGCTCACAGAGGCGGAACCATCCCCCTGGGTCTTATTGAGGCAGGGGCAGAGCCCAGGGGCTTTCTGCTGCCCCATTTTTTGCCTAGGCTGGCCCCTGCGCATCGGAGATGGACATGTTGCCTCCGAACCTGTCCATCCCCAGGGCCTCACCCCAGCTCAAGCCTCACTCTCTCTTATCTGGGCCTTCACCCCCACCTCACCCTTTCTTCTCTGGACCCTGGGCCCCACTTCCCCTGTGGCCTCCCAGCTCCTGGTTTTTCACCTTCAATCTATTCTATACACACTCCAGTGCTTCCCCTGCCCCTTCCCTGATCACAGCCCTCCTGTGGCTCCCCAGTGTCCCTGGGAGAAGTCCTAAGGCCCCAGCAGCCTGATACCCAAGGCCCTACATGCTCTGCTCACTAACTGCCTCTGCAGCTTCATATCTCATTGCTCCCCAAAACCACATTCCTCTCCAGGATGGAGCCCCACTGTGATGTCTCTGGGCCTTTGCATGGCCAGTTCTTTCTGCTGGCACAGCTCGCTCCACTTGGCAGCCTGGAATGTCCCTCCTCACTGTTCAAGATTTCACACACTTCTTTACTGTCTCTCTCCCTCACCTGCCCCCACACACACACACACACATCCCTGACCCCAGCTTAGGCCCCCTCGTCCCCTGCTTTCCCTTTGGCCTCTAGTCTCTCCATTCCAGTCAAGCCTCCACATGATCCTCCACCCAGAGGTGACTCTGTGACCTCTTGCTTGTGGCCCCCCAGCATCCTCAGGCTCAGTCTCCGCCCCTCAGACTGGTTATTAGAGAACTGACTTATATCTGTCATTCAGAACAGGGAGCGGTCAACTCTCTCATGCCAAGGCCATGCTGGAGACCCAGAGTCCAATATGAGCCCTGCCCCAAGGGGGGCAAGGGAAACAGATACACAGAAAAATGATACACAAACTTCCCCCTCCGACTCATCCCCTGCCCTGTCCACCAAGGGCCCAGAGAGAGAACAAAGGTACTGTTGTTCAGAGGTGGCAGGGCCCAGAGAGACAAGTGGTGGCTGGGTGGCCCTCCCAGGGGACAGCTGGAGGAAAGGCTGGGGCAGGAGCACAAGAGATGTGGCTGGGGACAGGTGGCTGGGAAGGGGTGGAGGGGACTGAGGCTAGGAGGCCACAGGGACCTGACTGTGTGGGACCCTGAAGGCTAGGCTGAAGGGCTGGGACTCTACCCTCTTGACGGGCCACCAGGGAGGGCCAGGAGCATGGGGGAGGGAGCAAGGTCAGTGCTAGGTGTGGAAAGAGCCCCAGGGCCCTGTGGGAAGTGAACTGGAGGGGGGAGACTAGAGGCTAGGTGAGGGTCCCGGTAGAGGAGGACGGGCTTGAGCAGGGAGGTGTGGTTGGAGGACAGGGCAGAGAGAGTCAGGGGGCAGGAGAATAGGGCCTGGGGCTGAAAAGAGGGAAGAGTCCAAAGGCTGGGTGACTCAAGCATCCTGGGACTCTCATGCTTTGTGGGGAAGGTGAGGCCTTTCTAGAGGCCCCAGCTCAGGCTCTGACCATCCTCCAACCAGGTTGGCGCCAGACTCCCTGCTGAACCCCCATCGCAGCCTCCTGGGCACTGGCAACTATGATGTCAACGTGATCATGGCTGCCCTGCAGGGGCTGGGCCTGGCCACTGTGTGGTGGGACAGAAGGAGGTGAGATCCAAAGCACTGCTTCATGTGGGCTGGGCTTGGCACAGTGAAAAAGGGTGGATGATTAGTTGACAGGCAGTGGACAGCAACTAGGTGGTTAGGTGGGTGGATGGTGGATGGGTAAAGAGTAAATGAGTTGGGTGGGTGGTGGGTGAGTTTGGGAGTAAGTAGCTGGCTGGATGGTGGCTGATTGCTTCAGTGGGTGAGTGCTATTTGGGATGACGGGTAGGTGGGTGGTGGATGGTTGTTAGATGGCTGGGAGCTTTGGGGGGTTGGACAGGTGGTATAGAATGGATGGGTAATGGATAGATCAGTGGTGGGTGCGTGAAGAGTGGATGGAGAGTTGGGTGGGTGGTGGAGAGGTTGTTGGGTAGATGGTGGTTGGGGGCTTGGATGGGTGGGTGGTGGTGGGAAGGTGGATGGGAAGCTAGATGGCTGCTGGGTGGTTGACGGGGGGTTGATGGATGGGTGGATGGGTAAGCGGGTGGGTAACGGACGGACGGATGGATGGATGGTGAAGAATGAGCCCCTGTTGGGTGGGTGAATGAGTGAGCGGAAGGAAACAAAGGGTACGCTGGTTGAGGAGAGTCCTGGGTGGCTCCGGGGGCCACTGCCGCTACGCCAGCCTGGGCCACACACACTCAGTAACGTTGAGCCCTGACCATGGTGTTCCTGCCCCACCCGTGCAGGCCCCTGTCCCAGCTGGCCCTGCCCCAGGTGCTGGGGCTCATCCTCAACCTGCCCTCTCCTGTGTCGCTGGGGCAGCTGTCCCTGCCACTGCGTCGGCGGCACTGGGTGGCCCTGCGCCAGGTGGGAGGTGTCTACTACAACCTGGACTCAAAGCTGCGGGCACCCAAGGCCCTGGGCGATGAGGACGGACTCAGGTGAGGGGGACGACTGGGCCCTTACCCCAAGAGGCTGTGCCCAGGCCCCTGGGCCTCAGTCTCCCCGTTTCTCCACCCAGGGCCTTCCTGGCGAAGTGCCTGGCTCAGGGCCTGTGCCAGGTGCTGCTGGTGGTGACCAGGGAGGTGGAGGAAAAGGGCAGCTGGCTGCGGGCAGACTGACCCAGCAGAGGAGGGAACCACGGCTGCCTGCCCAGCGAGTCCCTGTGAGTGGAGTCCAGCTCCTGTGCAGCAACGACAGGACCTTACTTCATGGGCCCTGCGGAGGCCCCAACCCCGTCCTCGCTCCCTGTGCCACTGCTGCCTCAATAAATATGTTTTGTTCTGACTTGGGGCCCCTTTCCTTCAGTTACTCCCATTTGTCAGCGAGGCTGGTCACCAGGCTGCTGGCTCTGCTGCCTCCCAGCTCTGTGGCCTCCTGTGTCACAGCCCCTGGGCCTGTTTCCTCCCTGCCCTTGTGAGGCCCTTGTTCCAGTGGAGGGGAAAAGGAGCCAACACACGGGTGCCATCTAGAGTGTCGGGTGGGATAAGCACCAGGGAGAAAGCAAGGGTTTATTTCCTGACTCAATTCTATTCCATCTGTTGCAGTAATGGTCCCAGAAGATGGCCCCACCCTAATCCCCAGAAACTGGGAATACACTCAGTCACATGGCCAAAGGGACGAAGGCTGCAGGGAATCAAGGTCACTTGGGTCAGAGAGAGGCTCCTGCGGTCTCTGGAGAATCAGAGGGTCCTGGAAAGTGGAGAGGGAGGCAGGAGAGGAGCCCCAGAAAGACGTGAGGAAGGAAGCAAGGCTGGAGGGATGTGACAGGCAGCTTTGGAGACAGACAGGGCCATGAGCCAGAAAGTGAGGGCCAGAGCAGGCGAGGAAGCAGCCCCTCCCAGGGCCCCAGAGGGACTGGCCCTGCCCACACTTGACTCTGGCCCTGCCAGACTCATTTTGGACTTCTGACTGCCACAGTGTTTAAAGAAAACCATGGTTTGTTAGAGGGGCTGTGGCAAATCAATACAGTGTCGTTGTTAGCATTCACTTAGGGCAGTGGGCCTCACAGAGCTGTCATTGAGAGCAGACTGGAAGAAGGCGAAGGAGGAAGCCATGGGCAGGTCTGGAGGAAAAGCATTCCAGGTAGAGAGAAGTGCTAGTGCAAAGGCCCTGGGGCAGGCATGAGCCTGATGTGGAGGGAGATCATGCAGGAGGGGAGGGTGGAAGACTGTGCCCAGGGCAGCAGCAATTTTGAACAGAGCAAGGACAGGCTCCCCTTAGGTGTCTTCACATTCTCACCTGATCAGGCCCCTCCTGTGCTGTGTCCTCCCCAGGCCCTCTGGCCCTTCCTGCAGCTGCTTTGTTCTGTCTCCTTTTTGGTTGTCTCCTGAGCCCCAGCTCTGGGTCTGGCCTGTGATCCAGGCGCTTGCCCACCCCAGCTCTCCTGTGGGAGAAAAACGCAAAGGGACTGGAAGACCCCCATCCCAGTGGGGGGGCGGTTTTAACAGGAGTCCCATGGGGCACTTTGGGGGCCACAGGAAGGAGAGGGGACCTGGAGGCTGGCTGTAGAAGGCTGAGGAGGGTCTCCAGAGGGCAGTGGGAGGGGAGGGGA